CAGCTCCCAGACACTGGTGACTAGTGTTACTCATTTCTCAAGTAGTCTTTAGAAAGTTCCATTAAAATGTAGGTCTAGTCTGCTGTGTTCATCCTGTGTTCTTCAGGTGGAAGTAGTGCTGGGCATGAAGCTAGACTCCGGGACTATTGATGGGATGAGTGACATCCCCAGTATTGCCCTGCACATTATTACTCTCTAACTTGCTTTTACTTATCATTGTATCTTGGACAAATTTTCATAGCAGTACCCATAGAGCAACTTAATTTTTTTAAATAGCCACATTGTATTTCATCATATGGATTACCATAATTATTTAAACAGTTCAAGTTATTCTAACATTTACTTCTAGTGTTTTCCTGTTACAGACCTTGCTGTGTGGACCTTCTGAGACATTGACTGTTGGTGGTTAATTCCATATCCATTTTCTTTTTCTAATTTTAGCTGGTCATGGCTGCTCAGGCAAAGACTGTGCTTGCCAGGCTCCCTGCAGCTGGGTATGGATGCCACAGAGGGTGCCTTGAGTGCAGAGTAGAGGTTTTGTGTATGTGTGTATGTTAGTTTCCTATTGCTGCTATAAAAATTACCGCAAACTTCATAGTTTAGGATGACATAAACTAGTTTCTTAGAGCTCCAGAGGTCAGAAGTCCTAAAGTCAAGATGTCAGCAGGGCTGCATGCCTCCAGAGCCTCTGGGAAAGAATGTGTTTCTTGCCTTTTCCAATTCTAGAGGCTGCCTGCTTCTTTGGCTCATGGCCTCTTCCATGTTCAAGGCCAGCAGTGTAGTATCTTCTAGCTTCTCTCTCTAGTCTTCATCATCGCATCTCCTCAGTGACTCTGACCCTCCTGCCTCCCTCTCGTGAGGACCCCTCTGGTATGAGGCCTACCTGGATAATCCAGGATCATCTGTCTCCCCATCTGACTGATCCTTAAGTTAATCATGCCAAGTCCCTTTTGCCATGTAAGGTCACATAGTCACAGGTTTCAGGGATCAGCCGTGAACATCTTTGACATCCTCATTCTTTCTGTCACGGGGGCTCCCTAAATCTAGGGGAGCTCAGTGAAGAATTCCCTGAGAAAGATGATGGGGTACAGCCAGGTAGAGGAGCAGAGCAAGAGCGTTTAGGCGATGGCTGGGAGGGTACTTGAGGTATTTGGAACAAAACAAAGGCCATTGTGATAGGCTGAGTGTTCAAGGGAGTGAGTGGCAAGAGATGCCATTGGAAACAGCAGCGGAAGTCACCAGAGGATTTTAAAGCAGATTTGCATTTAAAGAGAACACTTTTGCAGTCCTGTCGACAGTGGGGTGAGACAAACAGTGGGGTGAGACGTGGGTGAGGTGGATGTTAGAGGCCACTTAGGAGGTGGTGTCATTCAGAAGAGTGATGCTAGTGGCCTGGCCTTGCTAGTTGCTGGAGATGAGAGACAAGCGAGTGGACTCTGAGCTCTAAGGAAGGAGAATCCATAGGACACGGTGTCTGGGTATGGACTGCGGAAGGATTATGGGTAGCATCATACTAAGTGGGGGAGCACCATACTAAGTGGGGGAACACCAGGAAAAGATTGGATTTGGGGGGAAGGGGAAGTGAAGGCTCTAGTTTTGGGTAGTTTGATTGAGGGCCTGTGAGACAAGCAAGGGATAATGTCCGTGTTCATCCAGTTTAAATGAGCTCAGAGGTGAGAGCTCTGGGATGAAGATAAGTTGAAAACAGTTGGCACGTAGCTGCTGATTGAAGCCATGTGAGTGGTTACTGCTTAGATCTCACCCAGAGAGGCATGGAGAGAGGGGTGTAGGGTTCAAGTAGTAGCCCCAGCTAACCATGCCCCCTGAAGTTTTGGAGCTCATCAGGGATGAAGTAGGGGTAGAATCCAGAAAGGGTTGTTTTGAGGAGAGGTGTGGAGGTGAGGAAATAGAGACACATTTTAAAGATTATTATGGAAATCTTCAAGCATATTTGATTCCTATTGCTGCTGTAACAAATTACCATTAACCTAGTGGCTTAAACAATGCAAGTTTATTATCTTACAGTTCTGGAGGTCAGAAATCTGAACTGGCTCCCTGAGCTAGAATGAAGGCCATGTAGGGCTGGGCTCTAGTGGCTGCCTGTTCCTTGGCTCCTGGCCCTCTTCTTCATCTTCATAATTAGCCAAAGGCAGTTGAGTCCTTCACATATTGCATCTCTCTGGTCTGTTTGTCCTGCTTCCATTTTTAAGGATGCTGTGACAACACTGGGCACACGAAGATAATCCAGAACGTGTGCACAAGAGAAACAATGTTGCAGTGTGTGACATGGGGAGGGCCACTTGAATTTGGTGGATTGGTTATGTGAGTTTTTTCCACCCTAGCATTGCACATCTGTCTGGGTATATGTTCAGAGAAGGTGGGTAATTTGGTTCCTATTGGGTTGGTTTTTTGCCAGGTGGTTTGACCAAAGGATATGGTAAGGGGTGCTTGTAAGAGCAGCTGAAGTCACACTCCACAGACTCGATGCTGAATGAGACATGAGAGGACCGAGCGAGGCCAGCGGGGTGTAAGGGTAGCTGGACACCATGCTTCAGGAAGCCAGCGGGCAGAGCCCACCCCGGTGGCTTTTGGGTTGGTGGCCAGATCTAGGGTATGTCTTTGGGAGTGGTGGTTGAAGTGGAGTGGACTCAGAGTCACCTGGAAAAGAGGACATCAGGTGCTGAAAGAGCAGAGTGGGAAGGCTCCCACACACGGGCATTGAAACCACCTGGTTTGATGGCCAGATAGGGCTATAAAGGTGGGTCTTCTGTGAATGGTGGTCAGCCAAAAAAAGGAAAAAGAGGGGTGTTTGTACAGTCTTGGGAGACATGGGCCTCAGCAGGGCAGATGTTTTGACAGGTATTTCTCTTAAACACTGTCCTCTGGGTCACTGTTCTTAGTATGAGTCATCTGTACCAATTCCTCCTCCAATAGGAAAATATTAAGATAGGTAGAAAAAAATCAGACTCAACCCAGGAATTCCTAAATAGCAAAAATCGTGGAGTAACCTGAATATATGGCTACCCCATAAAGAAAGGTTTAATGAGCTCTGTCTCCACGTGCTGTAATTTTATATCTGACATTCCTCCTTGGCTCTAAGCCATATTCTAATGTTGCTTCAGAGATGGCTATGGGTCTATTTAATATGCATTATTTACATTGATTTATGATTGAGATGTAGCTTTTTTGAAAATTTTTAGTGATTTTTGTCTATACTGTAAAATCCCTGTTGTAATGTAAGTATTATTTTTAAAATTTAGCTTTATTGTATATGGAGTCACGTTATTTTGAAGGCAAAGAAAACCACCTCCACCCACTCCCCCGCCCCCCTGTGCACACAGGAAGAGAGCAAAACTATCAAACACAGATGACCATTGAATTCAGTGGCTCAGATGATGGGTCAAAGAATTGAGATTGGTGGACAGCATAACTGACCAAGAAAACAAGTGGGAGCGAAGGAGATTGTTATAAGGGGATGCAGCATGTCATTTCTGCTGTGGTTCTGTTTGCTTAGAATTGGGGCATATTTAATGTTTACTTGTTGACAGGTGACCATTTTGACTGGTTCTCAGCTCACTTTTTCGGCCATTTCTTCTTGTGACAGGAGCTGCTAATTATGTGATTATTGAAGAATAAGTAGCACAGCAGAATTATTTTTTATAAAACATAACAGGGTCTTTTTCTTTTTAAAATGCCTGTCTCCCAACTTGAGGTTCTGTGAGCTGTGAGTCTTCGGTGCCGGCCCCCCAGAAGGTGAGCAGGCTGTAGAATGGTGATAGGGCCATGGGGACATGTGGAGCCTGATCCTGCCCACCCCCTAAACTTCTACCTTGTTGGTCTGAAGTTAGGTCATTTTTCCTAATCCCAGCAGATTCACCCAGGCTGTGGGGAGGAAGGGGGATCACCGTGGCACTGGTTCTTGGTAGGACTCAGTGAGTGGCTTTGTTCAGTATAATTGCTCTGTGTAGCCTTTCCTTCGTGGGCTCCCAAATGTGGCCCCTGGGCTGAAGTCCTAGCTCTGCAGTTTACTGGCTGTGGTTCTTGGACAGATTCTTAGCCATTCTACACCTTAAATTCTTGTTTATTAAATGAAGATTATAGTAATACTTAACCTGATAGGATTGTTGTAAAAATAAAGAGGGCAGGCCCTGGCACATAGTAGGAGTACCCAGTAACTTCCTGACGTCGTGTTAGAATGTTAAACTTGGGTTCACATAGCTTACCAATTGGTGCATTTGGGAATTGGTTTTAAATTGTATTTTATTTCTCCATTATTTACAATCTTCCTTGGACATTTCACTTTCTCAGCTAAGGCTTTCCCTGACTACCCTAATTAAAGCTGCAGGTAGCTACCCTCTCCTCTTCTGTGCTCCATGCCTCTCCTCCATCCCCTATTCTCTGGAGTGCCCACCCTCATTTCTTGCTTCATTTTTCTTCACTGCACTTAACACCTTCCTGTACTGTCCAGTGTACTTTTCTTTCAGGCAGTCTGCATCTGCTAAAATGTGAACCCCAATAGCGTGGGCATCTGTGTGTGTTCCATTCCCTGTTCTATTGTCAGTGCCTAGAATAGTGCCTGGCACACAGTGGGTGTGTGATAAATCTTTATCAGAGTGAAGAAATGGACTTTGGAAGTGGTGGTAGGATTCCATTTATCACCAACTATTATAAAAGCTGCTGCAGCTTAAAATGTTTTATTCAGAAGTTCTTGGTGACAGTTTGCTCATTTGCCTATCTCTCACCTCCTTTCCTAATAGGGATGACTGAGCCAAGAAGAACAGGTTTGAGGCGATGATTAAGTTGGATGAGGAGAGGAATAGGCTGACATTGTTTACTCATCTCCTGGTTTACTTCTGACACCTTTTCTTTCAGCGTGAATCTCACCAAACACCTTGGTGACCAGGAGAGATGCCAGTCCCAACAGTGGACTTCCTTCAGTATCATCTGACTTTCTGGCCTGTTTCACATGCAACAGAACTTCTGTTGTTTTTCTCCTCTAGGGCACCAATGCCTCCGCTCTGGAAAAAGACATCGGCCCAGAGCAGTTCCCAATCAATGAACACTACTTTGGATTGGTCAACGTAAGTCTTTGAAAGTGGATTGATCAAATGTTTTAGAGTACTTGATGCAACTCCGTGGTCGTTTTCATCACTACCAATTTTTAAATGATTGTGATTTTAAATAATAATGATTCTCCTTAGTTATTATAGGCAATGTTGGGGTGGGGGAGGAGATTCAGTACAGTTTTGAAAGCATGTGTTGTCCCAGAAAAAAGGGTTTTTAATTACTGCATTATTGGGTAAGATTGTCATTTTTTTTTCCCCCTGTGCTTAAGGGATTTATTTTGTATATGTAATTTTGAGAGTGATTTTATTAGCCTGTGTAGCCAGATCTGCTTTTATGTTTCCCCTTTACCATCTGGTTGAACTCCTTAGGCATTCTTTTTTCAGTATGTGTCAGCACAACCAGTGTTTTAAAAGTATTTCCAGTTCATCACTAGTAACTGTTTGATGGTATAACCTGATGGTGGTATAAAGCAGGTGCAGGTGTGGGGGAAGAACTGGCACCAGTTTATCTCAGAATTGGCCCCACTTGATCTGTGCTTAGCAATGGCTTCCTTGTATATGGCCAGACTTTCCAGCCTCTGCTTCTTTGGTAAGTGATTATTATGACTTAGTAGTGAGAACAGTATTACCCACTATACTCCTGAGTTTTCTTCCTTACCTGATCCTTTCTTTCTGGGTGGAGGTTTTAAGCAACATCAAGTGTTAACTCACAAGCATTTGGTTTTCTGGAACAAGTAGTCTAAGCATAGTCTGTCAGTGTCCAGGTGAAACAGGTAGCGATTTCCCCTGGGGAAGCTGGAAGTGATTTCTGTGAGTGAATACTGCCTGTGGTATAGTGGAAAGAACACTGGCTTTGAAGTAATTCAGTCTGAGTCTGAATTCTGCCTATGCTGTTCATTAGCTGTGTGATCTTGGGCAAGTCACTTGACCTCTCTGAGCCTCTACTTTTCCATTTGTAAAATGGACATCACAATGGTTTCTACTCTTGGTTATAGTGAAGGGTCAGTTGAAGATCCTGACATGAGGTTGAGGCACATTGTGGACACTCGGTAAATTTTAGCTCCTTTTCTTTCCCAGGATTTGTCCCCTGGATCAGGGCCAAGCATTACTAAAGGGTGACTGGGTGGAGGTGAGACACTGAGTAAAAGAGAAAAGAATGGAAGAAGGGAGGGTAAAGTCCTGGAATATAGGTTGTGTTGGTGAAATACTGGCTTCTAATTTTAATATAATTTGTTCAGCCATTGTGCATAGGCATGTGTTTGGCTCTTTGAAGAGAGTTATTTAAGTTGTGGGATGTTCTGCCGTGGCTAGGGAAAATACAAATGGAGAAAAAAAGAATAAAGGCCAGGACCTAGTTTGTGGAAGCATTGTGAGATCTAAGTCTATTGATAGCTTCATTTATGTTCACTTTGAATGGTAATTGGTGAAAATTCCAGCTTCTCTTTAAATATAAGTTTGTCTCCTATTATATAATTGTGTCAAAGTAGATTAAAATATGTAGAAATAGGAAATGTTCTCTCAGCATACGTAGAAATGCCACGTTAAGTATGGTGGAGCATCTGTCTTGCTCTTGGCATAAATGACGCTTAAGCCAAGAGCAACCAATCTTGAGAAGATGTCCGTGTTCTATTTTAATCCTGCACAGCATTTTGTAATCTATGTTATTAACCTTGTGATTTCTTTTCATTTTACTGTGTATGAAAAATTCTAAAGGGATAGTTTCAGCTGTGTTCTCTTGCAGGCATGGTTTCACAGTCCATTGAAAACTGAGAGGATGACTTATTTCCTCCTTAATCATAATCTGAGTATCCATGGTTTTTGAGATGGACAGAATGTCACTGATGTTTCAGTGTGGGCTGTAATCTGTTGAATGATATTGTACTGGGACAATTGCCACCTTGGCAGAAAGAAGATAAATGGTGATTTAGGACTCATGAGTGGAGACAGTTGGTAGAATCACGTAGGGAGGCACCTTTGCTCCGATTAAAGTAAATGCATAGGTGCCTTTACTCTCTAGCTTTGGAGGGAGGATGTATGGTCTGAAGCCAGTGGGCAGGGACACTGAATTTTGAAAGAGAAAAACTAAAATGAGTCCCCATTCAGTTAAGGCTGTTACAGCTGTGAGCATGTGGTTCGTAGTTTCTAAATTTCTTTATGATTTGCAGTTTAATTATCCCTGTCATAGGAGTTTTGATGTGTTGCATTGTGGCATCCTTATTTATCCAGCTACTTTTCTGGGTCTCCATATTATGTCGATTTTTTTCTTCTCTCTTTTTGAAAACAAGAAGGTTTCATTAGATTTCATTTCTTTTTTTTAAATCAAGGCAAAGTGCCTCTTACTGTTTTAGGGACTGGAGGGGCACCACGCTTATGTAAACTTGTGTTTATTTCCCTGTTGGTCAGGTAGTCAATGGGTTTAGAGTGTTTTACCAGTTTCCTAACTTGGCAAGGAGGACTTTGACACTGGGAAATCTGGGCTGGTTTATGGAGGGTAGCCTTCTCCCTTTCCGCCACTCCAGAGGTGGCATGTCCCCAGACCATGATTTGAACCATCCCTGTTGTCCTTTGGCAGTTTGGAAACACATGCTACTGTAACTCCGTGCTCCAGGCTTTGTACTTCTGCCGGCCATTCCGTGAGAACGTGTTGGCATACAAGGCCCAGCAAAAGAAGAAGGAAAATTTGCTGACGTGTCTGGCAGACCTTTTCCACAGCATTGCCACACAGAAGAAGAAGGTTGGCGTGATCCCACCAAAGAAGTTCATCTCGAGGCTGAGAAAAGAGAATGGTGAGTAGTATGGAGGTTAATCTGTTTAAGGGTCTGAAATGGGGAGATTTGTTCTTTGTATCCTCAAAATGAATCCCCCCCCCTTTTTTTTAAGGGAAAGTAGTATGGCCACTACTCAAATAACCTTTTTTAAGAAAATTTCTTTTTCTACCAGTACATATAAAAAAACAGGTTAAAAAATACATTTACAAATTTAGATTTGTCGTCCCACTTTGGAATGACCTTTTTATTGCTTCACATTGGGAAGAGTTTTTTTCTGGATAGGATCATTGTAAGAAGAAACATTGCCTAAGGTGGCCTTCTAAGCAGAACACTGATCCGAATAAATAGGTTAATGCACTAATTGAATAAAATAGTTATTATCTTATACACTTGTCATAAGTGATTAAAATAAATGCATATTATCTAATCACAGCCTCTGCTGTTTTAAAAAACAATTATCTCTGACTTTTATTTTTCTAAGACAATTGAAAGATGAGAAATGATATCTTTATATGATTAAAATGTCCTGCTGTCACATGAATTCTTTCTTGTTTTTTTTTTTTTTGTTGTTTTTTTTTGTCTCTGCTTTTGGGAGCAGAAGCTAGGTTATTCCAGAAGTTCTGTGTTGGTAATTTTTATGACTACAGGTATATTTGATATGACAACTTGTGTTTATTCTAGATTTCAGCCTTACCCCAACAGACTTGCACAGTTAATCAAATGTTTGTTTTATAAAGTCTCATTTAATTTGATTGCTGTCTTTAAAGTTGTAGTTTATACCTACCAGAATAAAAATAATCTGAGAATGAAGCAGAGCACTCCCTAGTCTTGTTGAAAACATGATTAATAATGAAGTTTCACAGCTGCATTTGTCTCTTGATTGATTGTCCTTATGGCAGGTGACAGCAGTAGGCTTCTGGAGTCATTTGTATTTGGTTTCAGAACACTATCAGATAGATACATTCTCACATGCATCCCTTAGCTCCCTTCTGTGTTTCATGTAAGCTGCCTCCAGGCTGGTCCAGGGTTTAATGTGATCGTTGGGAAGAGCCCCCAGTAGCTCTGGATAAATATCACTGGTGGCCACATCATATTAAATATTGATATTTTACAGGAAATTTATCAAGTAATTTCTGTTATTTTTCTGTTTTTTTATAGAAAAAGTGAAAATTTTGGTACCTTTTTATATTCATGATGACTTTAGGGAGATAACAAAAAATGTAGTTCTTGGATTGTAAAAAATGGAAAAGAACAAAAATTAATTTAAAACTTACCCATTCAAGTTGCAGAACAGAGCTGAATATATTCCTTACCTGTGTACTCTTTCAGTATAAAAATTGAAATGTGGCATGTAAAATTTTTTTAAGCATTTTGTTTGCTTTTCAAGAACCAGAGATTGAAATAATGACCTTCTTTCTTCCCAGATCTCTTTGATAACTACATGCAACAGGATGCTCATGAATTTTTAAATTATTTGCTAAACACTATTGCCGACATCCTACAGGAAGAGAAGAAACAGGAAAAGCAAAATGGAAAATTAAAAAATGGCAACATGAATGAACCTGCAGAAAATAATAAACCAGAACTCACCTGGGTCCATGAGATTTTTCAGGGAACGCTCACCAATGAAACTCGATGTTTGAACTGTGAAACTGTAAGCATTTGGAGGGTTTTCATGTACTGTGCGTGTGCATATCTGTACAGGCTGTGTTGTGCATGACTGCAGTGCGGTATTATAGTACCTGGCAGTTGTCATCAATATATGCAGACATCTCTTTATGAATATGAACGTCAGGTGCAAACTTTTGGAAGCATGTCTCTATCCAAAATGTCTTAACTGGCTAAAGTAGAGTGATGAGGGAAAATCTCCCAAACTGGATGGCTTTGTGTCATGGGCAGACTTTAGGGTCCACAAATTGAACTATTGAACTGGACCCCCTTCAGTTATCATGAAAGATTTTGGTCATGAGGAGGTCATGTGGGTTTAGAACAGAGCACCTCCCCAGCATAAAGGGAATCAGCTGTGGTAAGGTGACCCTGAAGTCAGAAGACTGGCTTGACAGTCATCTGACTCAACAGCGGTTAGCTGGGTGCTGGGGGCAAGTCCCTCTCAGTGCTGTTAGGAGGGTGGGGTGAGCTTATGTGTTTGGGTGAGTCTGGCCCATGGTAGGCACTTGGTGTTAGTTGAATGTGAAGACATGTGCTCCAGAGCATGGTTCAGGATGTCACATTTGCTTAGTTATTTGTTTTAACTCTTGAGTGACTTCATAACATGGTAGTTAAGAGCCCGTAGAACTAGTTTGCATGCTGGCTCTGCCACTCAGTACCTGTGGGGCCCTGTGCAGATCATTCAACCTCTCTGGCCTCACTCTTTTCATTTATAAATTGGGGGTGATGAGAGCACCTATCTTACATGGTTTCTGGGAGAATTAGTTAACACATAAGGAAGCACTTAGAACCATGCTTGGCATCTAGCAAGAATGCAGTAAATGTCAGCTGTTATTTGTTATGGCTACTAACAACACAGAAAATCTGTAGGTTTATCAGGGTTCTCAGCTTCTTGACATATGAGAAATTCTATAGGATTCTATATTTTTCTGGAAAGAGAGACAGTAGCTTCTGCAGAGACTGGGACCCATAAATGGTTAAGAAATGTGGATTTTTCTGGAAAGAGAGACAGTAGCTTCTGCAGAGACTGGGACCCATAATGGTTAAGAAATGTAGATATAAGCTGAAAACTCTTCATTTTTTGGCATATTTCTTCGGCCCTTTTAAAGTATTTTTGAATCAACATTCTGATTTTTTCATTGAAGAAACAATCAGAAGCCATAGGTAAGCACAGAGACTAAAAGTTACCAGTAATCTCCTTATCCAGAGATGATAAATTTGTAACGTTGTCTAAAAATTATGATTACATTAACCCACTTAAACATTTTTGAAATATATCCTGCCAAAGCATTTTCTATACATACTTACCTGTCTATCTCTTTCCTCCCTCCCTTTCTCCTTCTGTCCCTTTATATTTTATATTCCAGTAAAATTCAAATGAATACAGCAGTGGAACAGTATCATAAATCCCATAGGCATGTTACTTGGGGTCAGTGATCATTTACACATTGGCCCATCCTGATCATTTCTCCTCGCACACCCCCGCCCAACCTTGACAGGCTGGTCTATGTTTCAGCAAATCCCAGGTAATGTTTGTAATTTCATTTGTAGTTTCTTCATTTCTTTTTTATGTATCTCTTAAAGGAAAGAAATCTTTTAAGTGCAGTACCATTGTCACACCTGAAAATAATTCCTTTAATCATTATTCACTCAGTATTCAAGTTTCTCTGGTTAGGTCTTTTTTTTTTTAGCACTCTGTTCATTCAAATCATGATCCAAATGTCCACACATTGTATTTGGCAAGTATGTCTTTTAATCTATAGGTAACCACCTACTCCTTTTTTCCTTGCAGTTTGTTTGTTAAAGAAACTGGCTGGTTTGTCTTCTAGAATTTCCCACATTCTGGAAACATCCCATGGTGTTGTCTAAGACATACAGTACAATGGCAGTAGGTTTGTAGCATCCTACTCTTTGTTTTTATTTAACTCACCATTTTACATTCCTTTTTCTCTCTTGCCTTCTTTTATAGCAATGAAATATACCTTCCTTCTTTCCTTCCTTCTCTCCCTCTCTTCCTCCCTCTTTTTTTTTTTTTGCATCTTTTGTTAAAGATTCTTGTAAAATTTACTCTAGAGGCTACAGTATGCATCCTTGTCTTAGCTCATTTTTTACCACTTTCCCAACAGTGTTGGAACCTTTAGAACACTTTCTCTGTCTTTCTGTCTTTTGTATTATTGTTTTGTGATAAACTCATGAGTTTTAACTTTTCACATGTTTTAATCCACTGCAGTTTTTTATTCTTTTTGATGCTGAATTTAATTTTAGAATAACATCATGTACTTTGGAACATCAAAATTAGGCGTACATTGTAAATACAGTAATTTGCAGATTTTCAGTCTTCTTTCTTACCTTCTTTGAATAAGGAAGTATTCCTTTGCACCACCCTCATCTCACCTCTCATCTATTCTGTCGCCATGTCCCGTCTGTTGTATCTCTCCTTCATCCTGTACTTTTCTTCACCCCGACAGTTCCCGCCTGAACTCAGTCCCCCCAGCAGCTACTGAATGACAGTCTCAACTACATTAAACTACTGCAGTTACTTCCTACTGGGTTTTCTGCTGTTCCTCTTGCCCTCCTTCAGTAACTCTACTGCCCAAAGTACAGAGTGGGCTCCAATTCCTTCCTCATCTTTAGAAGAGTTTGTATGAGCTTTGATCTACCTGATCTTTAGAGTTTAGTAGAACGTGTAACTTATCTTTGCATCCCTAAAAATAAATAGTTGACTTTGGCCTGTTTGTGATCCTTCTATGAATGGAATCACACAGTATGTATTCTCTCATGTCCTTTGTTTGTTTGTTTGTTTGGTTTTTGCTTAGTGTTCTTGTGAAGTTCATTTGTATTGTGCATGATCCTTAATCGTGCATTTTCATTGCCATTTAGTTTCCATTATGTGAATATACCACAATTCACTAATCCATTTTACTATTGGTGGATACTTGTAGTTTCCAGTTTGGGGCAGCTGTGAGCAATGCTGCTATGAACATTCTAGTACATATAATCTAGTGTACATCATCCTAGTTTTTCTAGTATATATACATAGAAGTAGATTTTTAAGGTCATATGTACACATGTATCATTAACTTCATTAGAAAATAAATTTTTAATTTTCAAAATTGTACCATTTTACACACTCAGTATATGAGCATTCTCATTTCTCTACATTTTTGTCTATACTTTTGTTCTCAGATGGCATGACTTTGGTAATATAGTGGCTATATAGATGAGTATTCTGTTCACTCACTTTGCTTTCCCCCATGTTTGCTGTGTAACGGTATAGACACAGAGCCTTGCCTTTCTGGAACTTACAACATAGAAGACAAACATTAATAAGAGAATGAGTATTTAGCTTTGTAGTTAGCAACTGCAAAATGCAGTGAGGGAGAAGTACAGGGCACTCTGTAAGCTTATGATACAGGGACCACAGCAACGGGGCATCATGTTTCTACATTTAGCCAAGAAACTTGCATCAGACTGTACAGCTGGTCTATTCCTTTCAGTTATCTTATTAACACAGTTACTAAATTGATCTTGCTGTACTCTGTGTGGCTTTTCAGGAAGGCTCTGATGACAGGCTCACATTTGTAGTTTATTTTTTGCCCAGAAACAGACCTGTTGATCCCACTAAAGGCAAATATTGGACCCTCAGATATCACAGAAGCTCTACACGGCCTGTTTTTTTCCTGAAGGGTTACCGTGGATGGGAAGCCTGTGCCCAAAGTTCCTCCAAAACTTTTGGATGATACCATACAGTTTGTTATAAGGGGCTTCCAACTGTTTATACCTTGCTCATGGAAGTGAACGATAGTGTGTGGGTGTGTCTTTATGGATAGCCCACTCTGAAAAACCTACACTTTTTAATCCTCTGAAATGATTAAATTTGAGACAAGAGTGTTTTTTCTCTGGCATTACTTAGGTGATCACCTCCATGTTCTTAGACCCTGTAAGATTCCTGGATATGATCTTAGGAATCATCTAATCCTTTCTCAGCCAGTGCTTGAGTCCCTTCTATGACATCCTAGCCAGTTGGCCACCAGCATCTGGACCCTAACCAGAGATAGGAAACTCAATCTCCTCACGTCATGTGTTCCATTTATAGAAAGCTCTAATAGTTAGAAAAGCCCTCTACTTTCTAAGAAAATACATAGCCCACAGGCTTTTTTGTTACTGTAAAATGCTGAGGACTTAGTATAAAAGAACATCTAATGTCAAAGTTTTCCTTCACAGGATGAGAAATAGGGGGCCCCCTTTGAGTAATGCCCTCTGCCCAGGGCAAGCAGCCCTTAGATGGTGCTTCAGTCAGAATTTCCCAGACCCACTTTGGGAAATCTCACAGTGGCATTAAACTGCACTAGATCCTGAGCAGCAGATTAGACCCCCGGGGAGCCTTACCATTGTAGCTGCCAGTGCCTCCAGCTGCGCAGAACTCTGTGCCAGCCCTCACGCTTTCAGGAAACAATGATATTTCTCTCCCTGGGTCTCACCCTTTGTAGACATTGCTTGTGATTGCAGTGCAAATGTCAACTGAGGGATTTATGGAGACAAACAGTTCCATTCTGCAGTAGACTTGGAAAGACTATTTAACTGGGTAATTCAGAGTGACTTTCCCAGATAACCTAGATCAAGGCACTTCAGAATTGAGGTGTGGTGTTTTCCAGTTCAGCCTCAGTGCTCCTTTGGCTGTTCTTTGCTTGGTTCATAAGATTTTCTGGGCCAGGTGGAGCTTAATTTTGTTGTTAATTTTCCCCCTTTCTGTTGAAACTGAGCTATTGCTCTGCAAACCTGTGGTTTTCAGTGCAGTGGCTTTAAGACGCATTTATATCTGTACTGGAGCTGAATGTCTAAAGAACTGCTTTATTAAGTACCATTATAACAGCTCCTTCTTGCTTTGTTTGCAGAGATAAAAATGGATTCAGTAGAGCTTCTGGGTCCTTCATAAAAGAGGAGCGATGGTGTGGATAGGTGGGTGGGCAATGTGGCCAGGTGAGA